TTAGCGTTATGGGTTTGAGTTCTATTCAAACATTTTTACTTTTTATGATGCCAGGAAAAAAAAATAGCTTTTTAATTGTTTTGTCCCATTGTATCTTAAAGTAATTGATGTTAGCTAACTTTTACGTATTCTAGAGAATCAAATATAGTGCTGTAGAAGTGATGAAAACACGAATTAAGATGAGAAACGCACTATTTTACTTAGGAGGCTCATAATTCGGATTAAAGTAAAGACCCGTGGTGAAGAAATGCATGTGCAAGTGCTGTTTGAAATCGTGATGTCTTACGCTGACAAGTGTTCCATTTGCTGTTATTTAAACGTACAAAAATTTTTGTTAGTTTTATCATCCACCAGAATAACCATCAAGTGTGCTACTACTCGATCAGAAATTTAATGGGTTTGCCACCTTACTTAATGGGGTCCCCCTTAGGCTGCCTAGTTGGTACCCCATTATGCGCGTCACGGGGCGAACTGAGGGTCCATCGTAGGCTGCCCCAATAAACTAGCCAAAACTGTTGAAAACATTATATATTTCTGTGTTTGGGTTAAATATATGTGACCGTAATTTAATTCTTCCTTATCTGCACGGCCGATAAACTCCATAATCTGCATAGCACGCATGGTAAATCAGGCACATGCTCTTATGATAATTGTATTAAATGTAATGATGTACCTAACCCTTTGTNATCCTTAGTTAAAATTAGTCGTCAACATATGACTCAAGGCCAACGATTAAAATGAGATTAAAATGAAAAAACAAATTTTATCCATTACAAAATGCTATCACTTAAAGTCACAAGATAATAATCGATCCACTCCTAGCTAACGAGGAACTTATAACTAATAATCGTGTAAACTTATCTAGAACTCTTAGATATAATAGAAACTTTCAAGTTGCTTTATATATATATATATGTGTGTGTTACATGTAGTATCTGATGGTAAAAGACTTTAAGAGTAGAAGTCTTTGTCATTTGTCTACAAGTTATACAAATCATTCACCGCTCAAAATATCAATTTCTAACAAACTGAGGACAATTAAATTCATTTTTTCTTTTTTTTTACTTTCGGGCAACACATTGTCTACAAACTTTTAACACATTTTCTCCAAACTTTTTCTCCAGATCTGTTGGTCTAATGGGCCTCTTATCACGAGATTTGCACTTAGTATAGAATGAGCTTGTAACGCTAACAAACCTTTTTAAATGAACAAGATAAACCTTTCTAAGTAGTCAATTTAAGCCACAGCTGATATAAAATTTTATTAACAAAAACAAATTTTGTTTGATTTAATGACATCAATCCAAAGTTGTCTAGAATAGCATTTTCAAAAGAATACAAGTTTCTTCTTTTCTTCTAACCATTGTAACTTTTGATCGGTAGCAGTAATGTAAAAGTTTTTTTTTTTTTTAATAAATGTGGCTCCTCGCTAAAAATAACTAGAATCGCATTGGGTATTTGGTGATTTTTTCAACCAACTATTTATTCCACAAATTCCGAAGTTGGTATAAGACAGATATCGTAGAATTTCTATACAAAATAAGGGCCCTTTAGGCTTGTGATTAAATGTATAATCGTCATGAACTATTTTTACGAGGCTAAAATTTTTTCTAATATTAAAAACTGTATGTTCATTGTTATGTAACAGAACAAAGTCTGACGAATAAATGTATTATAGTTGATGTGTTTGAGTAAGTTAATAATTACATATTTTTACTTACAACTTTTTCTCTTTATTCTGAAAGAGTTACCATCTGCTTATCTGTTACTCAGATATTGGTGAGACGTTTATCAGAAACTAGATTTGTTTTTCAAAAAAAATTTAATACCTCAAAAATGAAGAGGCTACCAATACAAAACCGAAAATGTCCATTCAAGACGAATTTTTAAATTCAGTTTCTAGAAAATTGAATTGTTGTACGTAGAAAAAGTATTGCTTTTACAAAATACAAGTTTCTTAAGAAGTAATAAAATTTATATTGAATTTAGTAATTTATACATAAAGTAATGTTATTTATTTATTACTAAAAAATCTGACATAAATTCTTTGAATAAAAAATTTAACTGTATTCATATCTTGTTGATAATAGAAATATATTAGGCATTTCACGTCAAATCGCACAGGCTGCGCAAGAGACCACTTTTCATGCTTTGATTACAGTATCAAATTAATGAGAAAGATAAATCGGAGTAAGCATTTCCAATGTATTTTAACCTCAGATTTTCAATGAAATTATTAAAATTACAAAAAAAAGTCAACATAACCTCAAAAAAATATAAAACATGTTATATCTTCAAAAAGGTGTCTCGAATCTTTTTTTTTATTATCTAAAACGAAAGAGGAGGTTTTTTTACGTTGGTATAGTGATTTTCAGAGTGTCCACTATTATATTATTCGAGAAATCTAACGTCAAAGTCTATGCTCTCGTGCCGCCGCGACGGACGGCCTGGCGGCGGACGTAGCGCCGCATTCGTACCATATCTTACGTTTGAAAACAACGCAATATTCCTAATAAATGTTTTATAATAAAATAAAGTATTGACATGTTTACATAATAATAAACAATTTGTATTTATTTAAACTTTAATTTAAACTTTAATACTGTACACTATGCAATATATTATTGTATCGTATAAAAACAATTAAATATTTTTCTTTACCTTTGCAGTTTTCTTGAAAGTAGATTTTTTAATTTTTGGATTGGAAATTTTCGGAAATGTTTGAAATATTGAACTTAAAGATGTATGACGCAGCTTAAATGTGTTTTCATCAAGAGGGATAAATGCGTGATATCGAAGAGTTCCTGGTATCATTTTAGCCTTATCAACCCTTTCTTTTAATTTCAAAGCAATATTATTGATATGTCTAAATAATTATTGTAAAAAATAATACTGTGTTAACATCAACTAATAATTTAAGGCTAAAGAAGCAGACTTCTCGGTTCGGTGGGTCACAAATTGCTATATATAGCACGCATGCAGCGCCGCACCGCGCCCCACCGGCCAGGCCGTCCGTCGCGGCGGCACGAGAGAATAGACTTTGACGTTAGATTTCTCGAATAATATAATAGTGGACACTCTGAAAATCACAATACCAACGTAAAAAAACCTCCTCTTTCGTTTTAGATAATAAAAAAAAGATTCGAGACACCTTTTTGAAGATATAACATGTTTTATATTTTTTTGAGGTTATGTTGACTTTTTTTTGTAATTTCAATAATTTCATTAAAAAGCTGAGGTTAAAATACGTCGGAAATGCTTACTCCGATTTATCTTCCTCATTAATTTGATACTGTAATCAAAGCATGAAAAGTGGTCTCGCGCGCAGCCTGTGCGATTTGACGTGAAATGCCTCATATATGTGAAACATTTTTGAACTAAATAAAGCAAGTATGTACTTAGTTTCTGAAAGTACTAAGATTAAATCAGAAAAAATAATGAATAAAATAAAAATTTAACTTCTAACCTATTGTACTAAAAAAATAGTACTTACGCCTACAATAAGAAATAAAGTAATTCTTCATGAAAACGTCCTGTTCAATTATTTTAAAAACGGATTTTTAATTTGTAAAGTTCATAAACTGACAACTAAGAAAACGTTACAGCTTAAAGTGACCTATTTAAAAAAATTGACAAAGTTTTTGTTGATACTATCAATGGGAAAAAAGTTAAATTATTAAAATATCATACAAGAGTAATTGGAAAAATCAGAAGAATCTGTTTTTCTTGAAACAACGAAATAAGATTTAAAAATCTGATAAAATTAGTAATGTAGTTGATCCTTAGTTAAAATTAGTCGTCAACATATGACTCAAGGCCAACGATTAAAATGAGATTAAAATGAAAAAACAAATTTTATCCATTACAAAATGCTATCACTTAAAGTCACAAGATAATAATCGATCCACTCCTAGCTAACGAGGAACTTATAACTAATAATCGTGTAAACTTATCTAGAACTCTTAGATATAATAGAAACTTTCAAGTTGCTTTCTGCTCATCTTTGTTGATAGAAGGGTAAAAAAATTCCGAGAGATTCAAAGAATAATTTTTTCACCTATACTAAAAGTTAGAATCTCACAAATACGCATGTTTCTATAAGCCCGTCGTTGAGAATGCAATTTTTTTGCTTTTAATTAACAAACTTGGAAATGCCAAAATTCAACAAAAATTCTTTGAAAATGTTTTTGAGATCCTTCTGAACTTTCTACTTAGGATAATTTAATATACTTCTGACGTTTACTACCTTTGTTACACGATTTTTTGTTGCGTGATTTTTTCAGACTCTTTGGCTTATTTACACATCAAAGACTCAATAATTTGTAATACTGAATGACTGCAGATTTCAAAGCACAATTTCTACATAATGTAATATAATTATTTAGTCCACTCCTACGCCAAATGCACGAAATACAAGTAGTCATGTAGACATAATCTGAAACTTAAATATGAAGTATTTTATGCCTTAGTCCTTTACGATGGCAATTGCAATTTTTGACAATTTGGAGCTTATTTTTATGCAAACTAGATAGAAAAGATTTTTTCATCAACAAAAACTTCTTACTGATTTGAGCTTTGATTTTGGAAAAATTTCATACCTGCAAACACATTCTTACATTTACTTTTGGTTTATTAAGTTCTACTTAGTCTAACAACAAGCATTGTATCAAGTTTTGGTACTGTTCACACATCTTCGTTAATACTTCCAAACTTTCTCGAAAGATTTGAAAACTATTTTCAGAAATGTTTATCCTTGTGTTCATCTGATGAACTAAAATGAGTCTTAATGTACAACACATTTACAACTATTTTATAACCCGTTTCTTTACGATAGATCTCTAAAAGTAAATAATGGTTATTGAAAATATTTCAAAACTTATGTGACAAAGTACCAATAAATATACTCCTGGATTAGTTTACTATACATAGTTAAAATTGAAATTTCACAAAAGTTATAAACTACGTTTTTTAAAGGTTTTCATCAACTACAATTGACCAAAATGTTCAAGGCAGTTACTACAGTATGCATAATCAGTTTATGCGTACAATTATGCAAATGTAGTCTAGAAATAATTCAAGATATGACTAAGGATGACGTTTACAGATTACATTCTCCAGATATACATCCTTTGAATTACAAGATTTCTATAAAACTCTACCATGTTGAGAGACATTCTAAGGAATATTTAACATTCAAAGGTGTTGTGAAGATGGAATTAGAAATTGTAAGACCCACGCAAATTATAACATTACATTCACAAGGATTGTTGTATAATCGCGAGAACTGCAATATAAGAAGTCTACATAACGATGATCCTTATGATTTGACAATTCGATTTGAGCCAGATAAAGATTTAGTGCACTTTTCAAAGACAGATGGCCAATTTTCTGAAGGAAAATACTTTTTAGTAGTAGGTTACGCTGGAAAAATAGCAAATCAATCTAAAACTGGTATATTTTACAGCTCCTATGCAAATGAGAAAGGAGAGAATGAGTAAGTTGCATAACAAGACCTAAACTTAATTAATCGAAAGTTAAATAAGTCCATACAATTAAATTATTCGTTTATTTTAGTGTGTATGTGTTGACGAATTTTAAGCCAACATATGCCCGTTTAGTACTGCCTTGCTTTGATGAACCAAGTTATAAGGCTACTTTTGACATCACAATAATACACAAAAATGATTTCGTAGCTATTTCTAATATGCCAGTTAAAAGTATTACAACTCATGGTTTGACTCAAATGACGACTTTTAAAACCACTCCAAAAATGTCCATACATCTATTAGCTTTCGCTGTATTTGATTTCAAAAGCATTGGCAATGAGGCTGGAAATTTTAAAGTACACACTACTCCGGAACTATTTCCTTTTGCTAGTGCAACATTGAATTTTAGTCAAAGGATTTATAAGGAGACAGAAAAATTTACTGGTGTGAAGGATGAAATTGGAAAGTTTGATCAAATTTTATTACCGTTTTATTCCAGCTCAGTAATGGGAAGTTGGGGCTTGGCACTTTACGGGTAAAACAACTCAAATCATTACGTCCTCCACAACTAAAGTCCCACAAAAAACTTATCTTTAGTAATATACATTAAATAGGTCCAACTTGCTGCTAGGACTAAATAAATCAATACCCAGTTTTTCATCTGTAAAAAATATAGCTCGTGGAATAACGCAGCAATGGTTTGAAAATCTTGCCACTCCAAAGTGGTGGAATCATATGTGGCTCAGTGAAAGCATTTCCTCATATATGGTCTATTATATACTTGAAAAGGTATGTCTTTATTTTTTTTTTTTACAAATTTATTACGATATTAAAAAACTTTCACAAGTCTTCCAGAAAAAACTTAATTTTTGTTTCAAATTTTGTCTCTAGGTTGATCCCAAGCTTCAATCAATGAACAAATTTATGGTACATAGTTTAATTGATTCCTTATCTGGAGGATACTCTTTTTCTATGCATAAAAATGTACAAAATGTGAAAGATCCTTTTGAAATACGACTAATGCTTCATTCCGCTTTGACACAAAGAAAAGGTAACTCAAATGATTCGTCTAACGTACTGTATTAATTAGTAAACTGTACTTAATTTTTTATTCAATGTTTAATTATTAGGAGCTTGCATCGTGCGCATGATGCAGCATATGCTTACGGAACCAGTTTTTCAGAAGGGAATACAAAATTTTATAAGCAAAAAGTAAGTAAAGCTCGCTATTTGAAACTTTCTATCGAATAATCTTAACAGGTGGAATACAAATAAATGACATTTTCTCTAGATCTCATGCAAACGTGGACTTGAATGATTTTTATCAAGCAATCCAAGAAGTTTTGGACTCCATAAAAATCAATTTAGATGTAAAAACTGTGATGGATTCTTGGCTTAATTTTGAGGACTATCCCCTTGTAAACGTAAAGAGGAACTATGAGAATCACAAAATAGAACTCCAACAAGAGTGTTCTTCTAATGATGGTGCCAGTTACAAAAGCAGACATGTCAAACATACGTGGCACATTCCCATCAACTACGCTAGTAAAGGAAAATTGGATTTTACTAACACTTCAACGAAGTATTGGTTAACAAATACTTCAATGATCATTGACTCTGATGTTGATTCTAAGGATTGGATAATTTTGAATAAACAATATACAGGTTAGAGTTGAAATCATAAGTCTTACAATACCCACTATTTTCAAAACATGCTGTCAAGTAAAATCGTGCATTAGGCTTTTATCGAGTTAACTACGATGACAACAATTGGAAATTAGTAATAGACTATCTCAAATCACATAATCGTGAGAATATACATGTGTATAACCGCATTCAGTTGTTAAATGATGCTTTCGCACTGGTAAGAAAGGATATTTTAGATTTGAAAATTTTGATGCAGCTTTACGATCACTTGAAAAATGAAAAAAGCTGCCTTGTATGGTATGTTGGTCTAAATCTAATAGACTGGCTCAACGAAAAATTATTAAACATAGGAAAAGACTACTTAATTTTTCAGGTAACTGTTGATTAAAATTATTTTTTTCTCAAAAACATCCATTCTATTGTTATAATGCATTGGATGGACTCCGTTTTTGATGATACATGTTTGATAAAGATAAAATGACTTAAAAGAAATATGTTTTCTTTAATACAAATTTTTTAGACGTACGTCTCAAAAACGATCCAGCTTATAGTTGAAGACATTGGTTTTGAAGACAATGTAACAGATGACGATTTTACAAGATCATGCAGAAGAAGAGTTTTGTCCATGGCTTGTAAAATGGATGACTTGAATAGCAAAAAAATATTACTTAATAGGTTTAAGAATTTGTTGCGAAACCCGAAAAATAATAGGTAATTTTTTTTGTTATTGATTAAATAAACTTTAAAATCTTACAATAACATAATAATAATAAAAATAAAATAAAAATAAAACTCATTTCAGCATTTCTTCATTATTGAAACGAACTCTACTGTGTTATGGTTTTCAACAAATTACGGAATTAGATGAAGTGTATGAACTTTATAGTGAAATGAGAAATATTTATGGTAGTAATGAAAAAATTCCACTATGGATGGTAATAGGATGTAGTAGCAGCGAAATTTTTTTACGAAAACATCTTAAAATGTTAAGTAAAAAATTTTTGTTTGATGAAATTTATAATACAATTTTGACCATGCTCAATCATAATAAAGTCGGAGTTGATATTATTTTGGACTTTCTTATTAACGATATACCGTTAAGTGAATTTAAAGAAAGGTATTACAGCTGTAAAGAAAAAAATTTTTAAATTTTTCTTGCAAAAGTTAAGTATTATATACTCATAATATTTTTCAGACCTTTTCTCTTGCAACTCACCATACATTCGTTAGCTTCACAAACACCAAAACGTCACAGGAAACTGGTAAGTAACTTATTGCATGAGAATACAATGTAATTTCTCTATTATATGACATATGAATGTTTCAGCTCCAATCAGAAAAGTTTGAGGATTATCAGAAATCAATCAGTAGAAGTATTCAAGAATCTGAAAAGAACGATCAGTGGTTACAAAAGTATGGGAAAAAAATAATTGAGACCATCAAAGGTCTATAAAAATAAATAAATATATTATTTATTCGAAAAAAATATTTATCACAATAAATTGTCTATTTTATTCAACCCTTATAAAGCTGTTGCTCATCATATAAAAACCCTGCAAAGGAGTTGGGCCGTTCTTGCAGGGGGGTGGAGGGGAGCACGTGTATGTGCATAAGCCGTCGTGATAAGTTGTGCTGTACTAACCTTGTTCAAATGTATCCATTCTCTTGATTACGGAAAATGCATTTGTGTTTAAATGTAAATAGTATAATTACTACTAATTAAACAAAATTCAGTGAGGTCGCACTCTTACAAAGTGCTACAGGGTCTCATAAACAAAGAGGCAGAACCTTTGAGTCTTATTTAAAAGTTCTTCATCTCGACCGACTAATCCCGTCTCAAAAATAATTTGATTACTTTTAATGAGAAAAAAACTTTTTACAACCCGTTTAGTTTAAGGTGAAATTTTTGGTACAACAAAGTTATTTCTTAAAGAGCATAGGACCTTTATGGAACTTAGTAAGAGGAGGGGCAAGGGATAATTTTCGTAACAAGAGTCAGATGAGTGAAATGGGGATGAAAGTTAAGCGAAAGGCGCCATTCTAGTAGCACGATGGCGACGTTTATTAGACATTAAGGCAGTAATATCTGCGCATCAGACCGACGGTGGCACGGAAGAAAGGGCCACGATGAGGAGGAAGGACGAGAGAAGCATCATACTAATTGCAGTAATTCCTGTGTCCACTTCGGATATTTAATTAAGTTTCCCACTGACAAGCCAAGGAGAGAGACTCAAGAGGGGCTGGTTCTACTATCCCCTTTTTCCTTTTGTCAATTTCTCTTACAAAAAAAAGTCACAATGTTTTTTCCTCCATACTTTTTGTCCCAACTCCTACCAAAGGTTTCCAATTCTAAGAGCGGCCTTTAGTTTCGCTAATGCCTTAATATTTCGATTGGCGTCCAGATCTGTCACATAACTATTTTAACTACTTGTCACATGATCTTATTAAATATTCACATTACAAATGGCCAAACCATTTTTTGCCGAGAAATATTTTTGCAATACAAAAAGAGTCTTAATAATGGTTAAAGAAAAGCATTCTCATAATTATTATGCGATTGGTCGATCCACTGCACACAGCTGAAAATCAAATTAAATAGGATCATCGGTGAATTCCTGCGCCCCTTATGAAAGAAAAAAGGGATTGACGTGCCACTTTAATTTTCCCAACAGTATTCAAAGACTCCTTTCTCCCGCGTTTCCAACTATTTTTCTCCTCATCAACATTCGCAATCCTTCGATTCCTCCAATATTGTCGTTTTTTTCTCGTTTCGCTCACCCCACCAACCACTCGTTCCTTTTTTTATGGACATCATAATTGCGTAACGATCGCGAAATCAATTTTTCGGGTGTCTCAAGACGATCCGTGGAACTGGGAGAGAAGGCAAGCAATGAAAGGAGAGCGGTGGCTCCTGGAAAAATATGAAAGGGCCAAGAAGAGCGGACGAGGTTGAAAGTTTGCCCAAGTGTTTTACAAGAGCTCGGCTCTTTCGAGCTTTGTGTTCGGCAATTTTTGCTCTCGCTCCTTTATTTTCCATCCTTGATCCTCGACAACGAGAACGAGAAGAAGCTTTTCCGATCGACTATCATGCCGTTCCTTCCCAACAATTTCGCGAACTATTTTAAATCTCTTGAGAACAGAAGACCGACTGTGAAAGAACAGCTCTGCATTGCCATTGATCTGGCCTCTTTTTATCCCTATAATTGCGGGATCGTTAATCTTCCTTTATACGGAATATTACGTCGTGATGGTTGCAATGGGTTATGTAGGTACTATTGATCTCCAAATTAAAGCGACTGAGTACAGTAGAACAGAAATTAACTATACCAACTCAATACGTTTTTGATTACGTGTATGTTTGTCGGGGAAATCCCACAAAATGTAATCACAGAAGCACTATGTTCTGACTTAATTCACCACCTGGTGGGATTTGGAGTGATTGGCTATTCGTTATCAATTTTGCTTGCATCATATTATTAATCCATAAGATTCATCACCCCAATCTCGTAGTCTACGTACCTATTGATCTTCGAACAATTTCTCTTTCTGACATAATATTCTGTTTATTTGTTTATTCACAATGTCATCGAAGTATTTTTTACTGATTAACAAACCATAATACAAATTCTCTCTTTTTACGTACCAACTAATAATGTACTTCTTGCAACAAAGCCTATTGGATAAGGATAGAATGAGAGCACGAGATCAAAAACCAAATAATGTTATTTTTGTAAAGCTTACTCCTTACATCATGTGATTCTAATGAGCGATTTAACTTTAACATCCCTTTATATCAAAAAATGTACATCTTTGTGTATAACTTAGAAATTATGAGATACATAAAAAAATAATGAAAGATATGAAGATAAGGACCAGAATACGTAGCCCACGAACACATACCTATAACATACACACAGTAGGATCCAAAGAACAGAGCAAGAGGGAGAGGTGGGCCGGAGTAAAGGGAGCTCTCGTTATCAGCTTGGAGCCAGTCAAGCCTGCACTAGCCCGACAAATTACTACACTTCCTCTCTCTCTCTCTCTCTCTCTGGGCTCACTCCCTGGTACACTCCATCCCTGCCTCGCGGCTTCTCTCCCTCACTTCGATGTCAGCTGGCGTCGCACGATGGCCAAGAGAGTTCAACCATAGGTTACTAATCAATCAGCGGAAGTTGTGCACTGGACAACAGTTGGAGCTACTCACTACTCTGGTTGTCGATATACATAGACGAGCAACAATTGCGAGATGACTACATCCCCATACCGCACACGTTTACTACACACATATAGCTGGGCACGACGATGATGAATGTCCGGTTGTACGGTCCAACTACCGCTGCTACTATTACTGCCGCTGCTGCTAATGTATGTACGTATTATTAGCCTAATGGACCATTCGGCCGAGTAGATAGCACCGAAATCGACTTGTGGCCCATAAAGCTCACAAGTGGCCGAGATCGTTTTGACGAAATTTCATTTTAATTTTCAGAAGAGCTTTGTTCACCCGCTTCTAATTCCACGGGAGATCGAAGGATTGTTCAGACGAGTGGTGGTAAAGTTTGAGGGGTCACGTCAAATACAGAATTTTACGGGGTGAAGCGTTCCGACAATTTGCCGGGAAGGAGGGGGGCTCTTCAAAGGCTTTGTTATGTGGGAGAAAAATAGTGGATGGGGGAAAAAAGAGGTATACACATTGGAGGGGGAGATGAAACGAGATTATGTGTACAAGAGGAAGAAAATGAGCGAAAAATAATTGCGCCCGTTTTGTGCAACGCTGTGCGTATATAGGTAGTAATGGATGCTCGTGCTTTTGCCCTCAAGGCTGGGGTGGAGGATGGAAAATGAGCCGACGCACGTGCTTGGAAACGTATGGTCACTGATTTATAAAGGAAATAATTTCACCGGGCAATTTCTTACGTCAACTGCGCGTTGTAGCGTCGCCCTTTTTTTTTCTTTCACTTGCTTGGCTCACCTTCTATTAAAATAGAAATTAAGAGGCATTGCTACGTTACCGAGATGGTTTATGGTGATTTTTTAATCTTCTGTCATTGACATTTGGAATTAAATTTTGTAGTTAGTCGTCACTAAGTACTGAACTTTGTATAGTACGCATTTATTATTAATTAATTATTGTAATTGAATGATTGAATGGCATAATTTACCAAAATTGAATGCATTGTCCATTCAATTATTTCATAAAGTTATATTTGCTACAAAGAAAGACAATAGAAATGAGATCAATCTCTTAGGTACGTGCGAATCAGTTGGAAAACTAGAGGTTAATCAAAAGAGAAATAGATACAGAGGCAGAGACACAAGTATAACAAGAACATGGGACTGAAATTCATGAAATATCCAGTAAAAACATTAAGGACAGGAACTGAAGAACAGAAACACAGTCTTAAATGACAAGATTTATCTGTCAAAAAATATAGGGATCAATAAAAAATCTTATTGTAGCAGAGTTTAATAAGTACAGAAAACAAATGAACAGCAGAAAAGTATCACAGTAACTAACATATTAATCCTGCATATGTTTGTAACAGTTATATTATAGAAAGCTACAAAAAAATGAATACGTATACTGGGACAAAAAATTGATACATTATAAAGGATTTAGTCGAAGCAGATAGATACGAAAAAGTAGAGTCAAAAAAACTTAGATATGAAGATTTAGAAAGACGATGAACAAGCATTTGTTTGATAATTAAAGCGGATAAAATGTAATATGAATATAAAGAAGTATAACGAATAACAAAAATACATAAACGCAAAGTATTGATGCTTATTAGTTTTGTAAATATGTATAAACTGATGAGACATCGAGATTAGGAAGACGATACAAGCAAAAACAGAGAAAAGTTTACAAAAAGACCGATTGCTGTACAAACAAATTACAAAAACGTAGAAGCCTACACTGAGTGGCTTAAATACAAACTCATGAAAATGAAATAAATTGATCCAATAATTATTCAAAATAAAATTTACAAGCCATGATGACAGAGTTCTAAACTAAGAAATAATGACACAAAAGTGAATGCCGTTTTAAAAATAAAAAATTAGTTGGGGAGTCTGCAATGCAGAGATATGAAGATTTGGAGACAAAGATGAGCTACTTAATTAGTGATTTAATTCAAATAAGTTAATAAAAATAGGAGGTAAAAGCATTCCTTGCGATGTATATCGCCGTAAATACTGTAGCATTACAAAAGATCGAACATAATTTTTTCTTCTATTTTTTTATTGTATGTAAATATAACATACTTGCATACGTTTGGCTAAGAGTTTATTTAGCTTAACACGCGAAATGCTTTGCAATGCTCATAATATCTAATAAAATTTAACAATTAATTTTTTTATTTCTCAACCAACGAAAGTAATTTTCCTTAGTCATCCACGACATTTTTTCATAGCTAGGTAATCTTGCACTGCTTCTTCAAAAGCCATAATATT